TATTTTATTATTAATTTGGGGGGGGGGCAGAAATTTTATAGACAAACTGTTTAAGATAGTCTATAACAACGTAGCTTTGTTTTCGGCATAAAGTCAATGGCTATGGCTTTCTGCTGGAGGTTTCGCTTGAACAGCTTTTGTATACGTAGTAAACAGTTCAATGAAAGGTCTTCATACCCGTGTAGGTTCCTAAGTACCATTGTGTGTCTGGTAAATCACGAAAAAGATAAGCCCGTTTCTAAATGTCAACTGCAGCATTCTTGAAGCCAAAGAAAGTGTGTCTAAGACTAACAATTTTTTTCAATATAGCGAGGAAGAAATTTCTAAAATATTTGAATTTGTTATAGTCTTGGTATTAGTAGTAATCAAAACCGAAATGTAGTATAGAGAGGACAACGTTTTTACATTTGAGTTATGGAAAGGTAAAATGCATGACAAGTATTCTTCCTCTAAGGTTAAAATATGTACACGAGATTCATAATGTTCCTTTACATATACAAGATTGTTTCTTTAGGCAATGCACAACCTTTTAGAAATTATGACAGTAAAGTACCATTATAAAGCTTCACATGGACAAATGAGCCTTTGCCCACCTCATGAGGATTAAACAGACGCACGGGAAAATGGATTGGTGAATTTATATACTTTTGTATCTGACGTTGCCACATATAATGGGAGAAAGCTCGATAGTGATTCCATGCTGGTATAGCGTATATCATACGTGGATGTGTATCAAGGCGCGTACGTGCCGAGTTACCTGCAAAGATAGTGAGGTGTCTGAGCTGGAGCTTTAGCCAGGGCGCGTTTCCTGGTCCAGGTAAGGAAGCAGAAAAACGTCATGCATCGGCCTGCACAACCCCGGACTAGTCATCTCAAGCTTGGCCCAGAAGGTACTGGCAGGGAAGTCCGACGCATTACATTTGGGCCTTAAAAAGGGGCCCTGTGACTTTTTTCAGCATGATCAGAAAACGCTGCTGATCGGTGCTGAGCCACGCACGCGCGCTCGCAATCACACTGAAAGTGGCCGGGCGTTTGAAGAAAAAAAAAAGATAAAGTGCTCAACTTCATGGCACGTGCTGTCGAAAAGACGCATTTTCTTGCCCCTTCACCATGCCTCTCCCTGCGTAGCTATCAGAGCGCTCGCTATTACGAAAGGAGAAAGAAACCACCTGAAGCGTGCGACCTAATACACCTGGAGCTTCGCTCATACTTTATGAATTCTAAAACTTTTTGTTGCAGTTCATTTGTGAATCATCCTGCATTATTGGGGAGAATATTCTATTATTACTTAAAACGTGTTGCAGTGCCCCTTTAGAGAAGTAAGGTCGATTATTCGCTTGTTCTGAAGGCACTAGATCTAGCGTTCAAGTTCCAGTTGCAGTTCTAGCGTCACAATGAAAAGACTTCAGAAGCATGCTCGGAATTATTGTTCTGCTTGTCAATATAATGTAGTGAACATATTCTCGTAAAAGCTCCTTTTGAAACAAATATATATATTGTCTTGTGCTTACCATGCTCGTACAGTAAATTGTGTTATGAATGCTCGTGTTCTACTTTCGAAATATTTGTGCGGCGACATATATGATGACGATATAAGGTAACACTTCAATAGAAACCGCTTCCTATTTGACCTAATCTAATAATATAGAATAACTACCGCAATGTGCACTCTATGATGTAATTGAAGCCAATCAACTTGGCGAGCTATGTACATGGCCTTTCAGAATACCGCCGTACACTTCTACCGAAAACCCTTTCAACTTTATCAAGACTGAAAAAAATGACAGGTAACGGTGAAGATCTCGGACAATTAGAGTGTTGCATTGAACGTCCAATTTTCATGGCTCTCTATCTATCCACTCTCTGTTTTTTGTTTTGATTGAATATGCACACAGCGTTGACTGTAGCGCACATGCAGCATAAACAGAAAGCTGTTTTTTTTCTCCTTTTCTTGCCTATGAAGTTGTGATAAGGTGCTTGTTCACGCTTGTACCCTATAGCAATCTCCGTACGGTGAGATATTTAACTTGTGAAGCGGTATTCACAAGCAAAAGGTACAAGGAGATGAACTCATTGCACATCATTTTATTTTTCTACGTCGTTTTCACCAATGCTACGAAATTTCGCAACGTTGAAATTTGCTTCAAGTATTTACTATTAACCATGAACAAAGTTCGAGTTATTTTGACCGTGTGAGAAACTATAGCAGGTTATTCTCATCGCTTTCACCAAACAGACATAAAAAAGAATGCAATGAACATCAGTAGGAAAAGGTATTATGAGTAATTACACTGGTTAATTTGTCGATGAGCATTTCAGAATTGATTTGCTGCCTCGTATTTTATTATTCATTAATTTCCATGTCTTTAAAATTGCTAATAGATTGTTTCTGCATTAATATAATTGCACAGATTGTGACAGAACGTAGAACAATAATGGTTTCTGCTAAATTTGCGTAATTTTGTGGAATGATAATGTAATATTAGCAACTTGGCCTTTAAGCTCGTAGTATTCTGATCTTGAAAAAATTAAGCGGTCGTACTGAGATATATCCAAACGATATCGCTTCAAATTGCTTCTTGATACAGGGTCACAGTATGAATCGTGAATAGTGAGGGTAAGTTGGGATAACGCGCAATTCATTCCTTTTGTGTTTGTCCAGGCAATGTTTAGAAACCATCAGGGTGCGTGTTCAAGTTCTAGCGTCCCTTGAAAAACTCTTCATCAGCATGTTTGAAATATTGCTATGCTCGTCTGGTATGGCAATGAGGATACAACAAAGCAAATATATTTAATGTCACTAAAGTTAACAGACTTGTTTTAATACTACCATATATGACAATGCGAAAGAGACAAGAGCCATCGACGAGCACAAATTTGGAGCTGCTGGAAATTTTCACAGTTTTGAAAAAACAAACACATTTTGCAGGATTGTGACTTGGGTGTGTGCAATACGAAATTGATGGCGAACAAGGCCACAAAAGCACAGAGCTTCCTGTCCCTGAAAAGATTTCAAAAAGCGATGTTGTCGCAGAGGATGAGTGACATAGAAGCAGCTACAATGTATATAGGCAAATGACGGGTCCTTTGAGGATATGATCGAAGGCCGTGGAGTAGAGGAAGCTGCTACTTTGTGTTTGAATGCACCGTTCTTTCTTTTTGTCAAGAAAATTACACGTGCGTTTCTTAACAGGGTATAAATTTTGTAATGGCATTGCGCAGCATATTGCTTGTTATTTTCCTCTCTTTCATCTTATATATAGCATCTTATATTGATAAGACTTTCACATTAATGGGTATGGCCCCAACGTGGTGGTCTAGTGGCTAAGGTACTCGGCTGCTGACCCGCAGGTTGCGGGATCGAATTCCGGCGGCGGCGGCGGCTGCATTTCCGATGGAGGCGTAAATGTTGTAGGCCTGTGTGCTCAGATTTGGGTGCACGTTAAAGAACCCTAGGTGGTCGAAATTTCCGGAGCCCTCCACTACGACGTCTTTCATAATCATATGGCGGTTTTGGGACGTTAAACCCCACATATCTATCAATCAATCATTAACGGGTATACCTCCCTCAATGACGTTATCTGCTTCCGATCTTTCCCTTCACTTTGTGCTGTGCTTCATGTGCTAGTAATCTAATTTCTGCGTTTGTACGTCCCAAAACGATGATATGATTATAATAGACGTCGTAGTATAGGGCTCCGGAAGTTTTGACCATCTGGTGTTGTATAACGTGTAATGAGGAATTAATGTGCTGTTACACTACTAAGCAGTATTTCGGATATTGGCGAAAAACTGAAATAGGGCCATTTCTTGCTGGATACTTCTTCCGGCAAGTCACCAGGAGATTATCGTTCACTTGTTTCCACAAAACTTTGATTGTATTTTTACCTGCGACAGCTGCGTTCAGGTGGGATGAAGGGGAAAAAATAAATAAAAAAGGGGGGGTAGTTATTCCAGAGATTTCTAAACGTGATTCGACGATCAAGAAAACTCATCTCTTATGTTTGTGATGGACTCGCTTCAGCATTTTCAACATATATACCGACGAAATTATCGCGCCTTTATCGTTCATTCATTGACTGGAAGTGGCTTACACACCTTACTTCTCACTCAACATCAAAGAAATGCCGTCCGCTGCGTGCACGCCACATCGCGCCTGTCGAACATCTGCCCATCAAGCATACAATCCTAGCGAAAGCCCTGCTTATCTGCCAATACTGTCACTATAAATAGGCGTTTTTTTATGCCGAGGAAGGTCTTTTGATGTGTTCAAGCTGACAAATACACGGTGTCATGGATCTGCGTAATTTTCTACACTTTTTAACACGTGAATGTGTCCGTGATTTGACCACATGTGGGCTTGTAAAAACTTGCATAAATCTCCTCTTCTATTTTGGGCGTATGGGTTTACTGTCAATTTCTTGAATTTGGTGTTTGCCACGATTTCATTTATTCGCTGTTGAAGTTGTTATTTTTTTATTTTGGATAGTGATTGCAGAGAAATGGAGTGTTCAATGCGTGCTGTGACTATGCACAATTTGTATGCGGCGAATACACAGTGATTTCACTATGAGTATAGTGTAAGAGGTTACGACTCAGTTATATAATGAAACCAAGCGTACATCATTCTTCAGGTGTTTGTATTTTATAGTATTCTTTTTTCTTAGCATTTCTTACTATCTGGAACTTGCGTGCAATAATTGATAAAGATGGCTTATTTTCACAGGATGCCATCATTTAACTTTTTTTCAAATGAAAGAGTATAAAGAAACATCGCATAACGCTGTTAGTGAAGACCTTCCTGTGTTCAATGGGTCCTTCCGCGTTAGCGTCTTACGTTAAGATGATCGACCAACTTAAAAAGCCCCCGCATCAAACAATAAGACACGTATTCGCAGGCGTGCCTTTCAGTTCTTGCATAGGCAAAAAAAATGCGTTCGTGTATCTGTCACTATATGCATGTGATAATGAGTAAAGTCGACGTCCTGTCTGTTACGCAGGGGTCTACATATGGATCATCACGGCTGGCATCGTCACTGGCGCCTTGCTGCTGGGCCTAGTCGTCTGGCTGGTAGTGTTCCGGCTACGTAGGTCTAAGCGCAACAGCGACACGGCCGAGCCGCCGCTTCTGACGCGGGAACCATGGCATCGAAAATCTATGTAAGGGAACGCACGTCCGTGCCACTTATGCCCGTACATCAGTTGTCGTTTCATTTGATAACTTTGTGTCCAGTGTAATGCAAAGAACATTACAAAGCCGAGGAAGCAGATTCATGATAGTGTCGTGCAACGCGAAACTTGCTTTGCGTAAAAATAGTTGCACAAAATGAACTACTCTTAGCGGATACAGAGATAAGTAGCGGAGAATGTGAGCCTAAAAACCTACTATTTATTGCAGAAAAGCGGTTCACTATTTGAAAAACGTAAAACACTTTGTGCAGTGCTGCAAATGATAAGTATTATTGATTTTATAGAAGTGCATTGAAGTACACTCATATACGATAAGTATGTTTAAGTGAACTTCTGTGATGAAACGTTTCGACAATAAAGAAAAGCGTGTTAGGGACACAATAGCCATAGCATGACTCTCGTGGTGGGCAAATGCCTTACATTTGTTGTCATTTAAGTTTAATTAAATATGTATTACAAAACGCAAAAATTTGGTAAAGGCGAGGGTACATGGTAATATGGTCGGCAGAGTCTATGAGCTCTATTTCACTGCAAAACACACTGTGATTTGCAAATCGTGTTATGAAGAAATGTGTTATAATAATTAGCTTATACAGAAAAAATAGAGAACGAAAAAAAGATTATTACGTGTCGTAGGACATCACCGGACAAAGCAGAATCATGGTTCTTAGCTGTTACTAACATTGTATACTGTTAAACAAAAAAAAAACTGTCAGCAACATTTATTTATAAGGCTTCTAGTTCAGCGCTTTTAATTTTGTGCACAGTTAGTTTGCACAAACAGGATCGAGCTCCTCAGCAAATTCGCTGAAGAAAATGTCGACGATAGAAGGACGATAGACGATGTAAAACATGTTATGAGTAAAAGCACAGCCTCTCAATACTCTATGAGGGACTATGGCAAAAGGCAGCAACATCGTTTCACTTGAATTATTTATACTGAATACAGTATGTATTAGCCCGACACATACAGGAAGATAACCATGGCACATACGAACAGATAGTCCAGTGCTAAACTCCCAATGTATTGTTTCGCGCCTTTCAGACAGGTTTTTTACCTCCAAGGAATACAATTCACTTTGAATGTGTTCGTAACCCTAGTTAAACGCCTGCTTTCTCGACAAATAAATTGAAGGTGGTCATACTCAGGTGTTTCCTATTTCATCTATGGGTCCAGATTTGATGCGTCGAGTGTGAGCTGATTTCAAAAACAATTGGCTATAATGCAGCTGTACAGTTCAGTGGTGCGACTTCAATATTGACAGTGCGCCACCAAAAAATTTTAAACTGATAGATTGTTTCTTATTTGAAAGACCTGCACTGCTGGGTGAGTTGGTGATTCATTTTAACTGAGTTGCCCAAAAAATTGAAGTACAAAAAGAAGACACCTGGACACAGCGCTGTGTCCAGGTGTCCAGGACAGAGCACAGGTCACTTCCTTTCGGACTTCAATTTTTTCGCGCAACTCAGTTAAGGTGTTCCTTACGTTGTAGTAGTGCTCGCGTAAATTATCATTACGGCACCTTTAGTCCGACCATTATAGTACTTTCCACACGACAATGAAAACTGATACACAACACCACACACACAACCTACAAGCCTTACAGCGCTACTTGTCAATAGATAGAGCTGCGTTTTTTGGGGTAAGTGCGCTTACAAATAATATTAGTGTGAAGAATATCTCGGTTTTCACTACCCAAAACCACGGTACAATTATGAGAGACACCGCAGTGGAGGGTTCCAGAAATTTCTACCGTCCGAGTGTTCTTTAACCGGCACTGGCATCATGCTCTAAATAAGCCTCTATAGCGTTTCACCTCCTTCGAAATGCGACCGCCACGGCCGGGGTTGAACCCACGGCCTTCAAATAAGCAGCCGAGTACTATAACCACTGCTCCACTGCAGGAAGCAGTGATCTTACAAAGCTCCCTCAGTTTGTTCGGTGCTGAAAATATAGCACGAACGTTAATCCGGTTAGGGTACGATATTGTCAGCTTGTGGGAAAGCGTATCACAAGTACATTTTCCACTGGCCCGATGTTGCCCCTAAAAATGTTTTAGGCCCGTGTGCTCAGATTTGGGTGCACGTTAAAGAACCCCAGGTGGTCAAAATTTCTGGAGCCCTCCACTACGGCATCTCTCATAATAATATGGTGGTTTTGGGACGTTAAAGCCCACATATCAATCAACCAATCATGTTGCCCTTCGAAAGCAAGTATATAATTTTTTTCTTGCTCTTAGCACTATTTGGAAACGAACAACTGTTTAGGCGTATTGGTTCAGCCATTTTCATTGACTGATCCCTAACGTATGCGTATTTCAACGTAGTCAGTACTTTGAATAACACTCAAGGAAAGAAGTGTATACTTTAGGGCCTGTTTTTTTGTTAGACACAATATTAATGAGATCTAACAGATAATAATGCCAAGGAAAATATAGGGTATGTTCTTATAAGTAATTGCATCGTAAACGTACAAGAAAAAAATGGACAAAAAAATTACTCGCCACCGGCAGGAACCGACCCTGCGACCCTCCAAAAACGCGGCCGATGCTCTACCCGTGAGTTATGGTGACGGTCATTCCTCCATCCTCTCTTTAGGGTATATATGTGCATTCAAACGTGGGAGCGTCAGTCAACACTGCCAGTTGCTATAACGGCTAGTGTGGAGCACTCTTTTAGCCCCACGTGATCTTATTATGAGCTGGCAGCTGACCAATAATTCCTCGCACACTACCCGAAGGCATCCAGTCTGCCAAATTGAGACCCTCACTATGAATGAAAAAAGTGTAAATTTAAGAGCTCTTTTTCTTTGTTAGACACAATGGTAATGAGAACTAATGGACAGTGATGCCTAAGACAGGAATATTATTAGTAGCAAGTGCAATGTAAGAAAGAAAAGTGCACTAAAAGATGAGTTGGCACTGGCAGGCACAAAACCTGCTACCTCCAAATGCATTGGACGCTCTACCAGCTGAAGAACCACCACGGTCATCCATCCATACACTTATTGAACTATATGTGTGCATTGCAACCGGGAAGTGTTAACACCGTTAGCAGCAATGACGGCAAAGGCGGAATACACTTTTTTGCCTGTTCGCGTCATGCAGCACGTGATCTTATTACCGGCTGGCAGCTGACCAACGCTGCCTCGCATACTACCTGAATCAATCAATGAATTATTCAATCAATCAGTTTTTTTATTATTACGGAGAAAGGATTGGTACAGAATATAAAATACACAGACGAGGGTCCCAAAATAATAAGCTGCAACGGGACACTCGCTGATGGTAAATAAACCAAGGATCAGCTGCAACTTCAACCGTAAAAACATAACTAAACATACCAGAAAGAAAACAAAAAGGCACAAAACCAAGTTGTACAAAATGTGATAAATGCAATGCACAGCCAAACAATTTTAATACAACTAAAAAAAGAACTAGAACATTATAAGCTCAACAAGAATTTTTTCAATGGGTTTTTGAATGACATTGAAGGAATTTTACACTTGAGTGATGAGGGTAAAGAATTTCACAATGAGATGACACAGAAGTGTGAAGATGATTCACCATAGTTAGTATGAACTTTAGGTAACAGAAAGTAATTGTTCGCCGCAAACCAGGTCATGTTAATGTTAAAAAGTCAGAATCAATTGAAATAGAAAAAAGTTTATTTTTAAATCGTTCATGCAGAAACACAATTACATTGAACCTGGTTTAGTTGTTAACGTTTTAGATGTTATTGCCGGGAAAAAGGTGAGTGGTGTTACTGCTGCGAGTACAGTTAATAATAACACGAAGGGCCCGATTTTGTAAATGCTGTATGAATGATAAGTATTCCTACGTAAAACGATGTCATAAGAATGAATGAAAGCGAAGCACATACACAGAAATGCATTGTGAGAAAAATATGGGCGAGCTTAAAGTATAATGCGCGAATGCGCGAATACTAAATGCTCTCATTTTCCTAACGTGAGCAATATGGAGATTGAATCTAAAGTTAGCATTGAGGGGAACGCCTGGAAAGGATACCTCGTCACTTATACTAATGAAATGAGAGTCAATTGCGATCACTGCATGATGAAGAAGTCAACTTACGTTGAGGTGATCTTAAGGCCTCAAACTTTCACTTACTAGGATTGATAAGTAGATGGTTTTTGTGATACAGTTTTGACACTTTACAAAGTGCATCATCGAATTTATTAGTGAGAGTAATCAGTGAGAGCAGCAAAGAAAATGGTGAGATCATCATCAAGTCTGCCAGAACGAAGCCCTCGCTATTAATGAAGGAAAGAAGTGTAAACTTAAGGGCTCGTTTTTCCATGTTTGACACAATATTATGAGAACAGATCATGATGCCAAAGATGAGGAATGCCAAAAAAGTAATGCCAAGGAAGACAATGATGCCTAACAGACAATGAATCAAGAAAGAAAAGTGGAGGAAAAGGTAACTTGCTACCTGCAGTAACCGAGCCTGCGACCTTCAAATAATACGTTGAATGCTCTACCAACTGAGCTTCGGGGGCGGTTAGCTCTTCGTCCAATTTGTAGGTATACGTGTGTTTAAATGTGGGAGCATCTCTTCGTTCACTTTCCTTTCTTCACATTGATAATACAATTACTTCCAACATTCCTTATACTTGCCTTGGCATCACTGTCGGTTAGTTATCTTTAATATGGGGGGTAACAATGACACTCATACAAGTGGCAACAATAGCGGTGGTACACTGCACGATGCTGCACAGTGGCAAAGGGGAGCGTTCTTAAACTCTTGCTATTCGGGTAGCAATCTTTGTATGATATGGCGTTCCTGGACGCCGCACCTCTAGCCTCAGACGCGAAAGCGAAGCGCCTTCTTGGGTATTAACCGGAGTTCAAACTTCCACAAATTGTATTATTTTTCTTTCGCCTTCTATTTGTGTGTCCATACGCTTAGCGCTTCGTTTGTAAGTCTCCTTGCGGGAAATCCAAACC